TTTTTATATGTGTGTGTGTGTGTGTGTGTGTGGTGATGGGGGGGGGGGGGGAGGGACAGGGGAGCTGAAGGGGAGTTGCATATGTAGTAGGGGCTTCCCACACAGGTGTATATAGGATGCCTCATAAAGGGGTGTGATTAGGAAGCTCGTGTGTGTGTTTGTGTTTGCGCACGTGGGGACCTCAAACATTGGTGTGTTTGCATGGGGGTTCTAAAGGTGTGTGTATCAGGCATTGGTGTTTGAGCATGGTGCTGGAGGTCTCAATAAAGACTGTATGTATGTAGATGAAGGACCTCACAAAACTGTATTCATATATTTGGGAGGGACTTAAGGAATGGGTGAGTGCTTCTCTCTGGATCACAGGGCAAGTTGTGCATGTGTCTTGCATGGGTAGTTGTGTGTGTAAGAGTCTCTTTTTGGTGGGGCACAGGGATGTGTATTAATATTTTTGGAATACTGGCATGTATGTGTGGCAATGGTGTCATTGGCAGAGTGTATCATTGCCCTGATGTGTGTGGGGGGGGGGGGAGGGGAGGGGCATGTGACAGATATAGCAATTTCCTGAAATATCCTTGGAAAATCTTACTGTATTAAATGCAAAGTTTATGTATTGTTGTGGGCTGGGATTGTTACCTCTCTAGTGGGGGAGATGTGATGTGAGGGCTGGGAGTTCAAAGGACTATACTGAAATTGTGCCAGACAAGATTGGATTTTTTTAGATACTAAGTGTGAAATGGATTTCCTGGGAAATATCTAGGGGGAGGTTAATGCAAATTCCCCACCTCTGGTTATGCAAAAACCCACCACCTCAGAGCAGGGCTTCAAAAAGCTAACTGTCTGCTGATTACCTGTTCCTGGAGGTTGGAGGACAAAGGCCTGATCTGTATAAGGAAACAGACTAATCTGCCCAGTTTGGGTTCTGGCTCTGATTCTGAGAGAACTGTGAACTTGTAACCATAGGAAAAACCCAGTTGTGGGTTCATGGCTTTTAAAATGCTCAGTGGTAAATTATAACTATAGGCAATTACGCTGTTCATAACGTTTGGAGAGAAAACAACCTACAGACACTGGCCTGTTTAGGCAGTCTGGCTTGTAGGGAACTGTGTATAGAAAAACCCTGGTCAGGAGGGGGAGAGATGCAGGTCTCTGTCCAAGACGGGTGATGGCTGAGGAGCCAGGAGAATACAGATGCAGTTGCCATGAATGAAGTGTTTTCCCTTTCCATGAGTGGGGGTGTGTGTGTGTGCGCGCGCGCGCCACTGGCAGCGTGTCTTTGTGGGGCAGGGAGTCACTGGCCCTAGTGTATGTATGTGGGATCTCTGATGCTGGTTGCCTGGTGTGGGGCAGGGTGGGTCGGTGTTTCTGACACAGGATTGTGTCTGTGCCGACGTTTCTGGAACATCCTGCCAGCTGCCCCCACCACCCGGGGATATCAGTGAGGCCGGCTGTCACTGACGGGGGGTCACTGTGTGCGTGTGTCACCCGTTGGCTCGGCTGCCCCGTGCTCTCCCCGAGCGGGGTGTGTGTACCCGTGTGTGCCTGCTGGGGGCGGGCACAGTGGAAACTTCCACTCCCTGCAGCAGCAGCAGCAGCGCGGAAGCCGCCGCATGAGGGGGGCGGGGCTGGCGACTCACGCACGCGGCTCGGAGTCCCCCCCCACCCCACTCCGCCGCACGCTTCGGACCTGCGACCCCCGCCGGGCGCCGGCCCCGCGCAGCCCCAGGCCCGGCTGGGGACAGAGCGGGGCTGCGGGCCGGAGGGGGCGCGCGT